CTGCCTTTTCAGATACACCCTTTAAATAACAAGTCATAGATTTTATTTTTAAAGATGTTTAATATTTACAGAAAAATTGAGCACAAAGTACAGAGAGGCCCTGGCTGGTGTGGCTCAGTTGGTTGCAGCATCATCCCTTGCACTGAAAGGTGTTGGGTTTGATTCCTGGTCAGGGTACATACCTAGGTTTCTGGTTTGATCCCAGGCTGGGGGAAGAAGCAACTGACTGAGGTCTTTCTCTCTCTCTTTCCCATCTCTCCTTTCCTCTCTCTGGAATCAATTAAAAATTACAGTTAATTTTTTTTTAAAGTACAGAGAGTTCCCATATGTGGGCAACCCCCCATGCTGCCCAGTCTCCCCTATTATTAACATCTTGCATTCATGTGGTACGTTTGATGAACCATACTGTATATGGTATATTATTAGTATCTAAAGTCCGTAGTTTACATCGGGGCTCACTCTGGTGTTGTACAGTTCCATGAGTTTTGAGAAATGCATAATGTCAGGTATCTACCACTGTCATATCATATGGAATAGCTTTGCTGCCCTAAAAATCCCTTGTGCTCTACCTGTCCCTGCCCCATCCTCAGCAACCTAGACACACACTTTTATTGCCGCATGTATCTAGGTATTTTTTGTATTATGTACTTGAAAACTTTATTAACAAAGCTATCCAGCTCATGTGATACACACCTTTTCCCATTCAGGTTTGAAGTTAGTGTAGGCCTTTTTTAATTTTTTATTTTCGTTATTGATTAAGGTATTACATATGTGTCCTTATCCCTCCTTTGCCCCCCGCACCCATGCTCATGCCCTCACCCCCCTGGTGTCTGTGTCCATGGGTTAGGCTTATATGCATGCACACAAGTACTTTGGTTGATCTCTCCCCCTTACCCCCACCTTCCTCTATCTTCCCTCTGAGGTTTGACAGTCTGATTGATGCTTCTCTGTCTCTGGATCTGTTTTTGTTCATCAGTTTATGTTGTTCATTACATTCCACAAATGAGTGAGATTATGTGATATTTATTTTTCTCCAACTGGCTTATTTCGCTTAACATAATGCTTTCCAGGTCCATCCATGCTGTTGCAAATGGTAGGAGTTCCTTCCTTTTTACAGCAGCATAGTATTCCATTGTGTAGATGTACCACAGTTTTTCTAATCCACTCATCTGCTGATGGGCACTTAGGCTGTTTCCAAATCTTAGCTATTGTAAATTGTGCTGCTATGAACATAGGGGTGCATATATCCTTTCTGATCGGTGTTTCTAGTTTCTTGGGATATATTCCTAGAAGTGGGATTACTGGGTCAAATGGGAGTTCCATTTTTAGTTTTTTGAGGCAACTTCATACTGTTCTCCACAGTGGCCGCACCAGTCTGCATTCTCACCAGCAGTGCACGAGTGTTCCTTTTTCTCCACATCCTCACCAGCACTTGTCATTTGTTGATTTGTTGATGATAGCCATTCGGACAGGTGTGAGATGGTACTGCATTGTCATTTTCATTTGCATCTGACTTTGAGCATGTTTTCATATGTCTCTTGGGTACTCTTTCACAAAGTATCTATTTAGGTCCGTTGCCCATGTTTTTATTGGATTGTTTATCTTCCTTTTGTTAAGTTATATGAGTTCCCTGTAAATATTAGAGATTAAACCCTTATTGGAGATAACAGTGGCAAATAAGTTCTCCCATGCAGTGGGCTTTCTTATTGTTTTGTTGATGGTTTCTTTTGCTGTGCAGAAGCTTTTTATTTTGATGTAGCCCCACTTGTTTATTTTCTCTATATATAGTTTCCATTGCCCTAGGAGCTGTATTGGTGAAGATACTGCTTCAGCATATGTCTGAGATTTTGCTGCCTGTGGATTCCTCTAAGATTTTTATGGTTTCCTGTCTTACGTTTAAGTCCTTTATCCAGTGAGTTTCCCAGCGTCCCACTGCTGGCCATGTACACAGAGATAATACTTTTAATCCTGTTTTTCTTCCTTCAAAATAAAGAAATTGCATTGACCAGAATGACCTATGCTCAGCTCTTTTCTGTGCAATGCCTATCTTATAACTGGCCAGGGGAGGGAATTTTGCCACCTACCTGTTAAGGCATAAAGAGTTTACTGTGTGTTAACAAAACATGCATTTCTCCTTTTTGCCATGAGATGGCTCCTTGCATCTTGAATCAATGAAAATTTTACTTATAGTAATATTCCCTGAGACCTGCTGGGAAAGGGACTTATGAATGGATTATCAAGATGAAAAGTGAACTATAATGTAGATACTTTAAAAAATTTTTTAAAATTGATTTCAGAGTGAGGAAGGGAGAAAGGGGGAGAGAGATAGAAACATCAATGATGAGAATCACTGATCAACTGCCTTCTACTGGGGACTGAGCCCACAACCCAGGCATGTGCCCTGACCAGAATTGAACCATAACTGCCTAGTTCATAGGTTGAAGCTCAACCACTGAGCTACACCCAATGGGCTAATATAGGTATTTTTAAGGGCATATCAATGTCAGAAAAATACTCTCGCCTTTAACAAAATACTAAGAATTCAGCAAAGAGAATAGATTATTGTGGATTGAAATAAACAATCAGAGAAAGCTTTGTAGAGAAGGGATATGAGCTGGCCTTTTTCTTTTCATTTTTATTTTTTAATTATAGCTGACATACAGTGAAAGATGTGTAGAATGCCAATAGACAGATGTGATGGACAAGGACATCCTAGGCAAGGGCAAAGAGGAAGAAGAGGCATGGCATAACTGAACAATTAGGGAAACAGAAAGACTAGAGTTCAAAAGTGTGAGGGAGAATTGGTGAGATCAGACAGTGGAGGTCATGGTACAGGTCCTTGTAGCACCACATGTGCATCCCCTCAGACTCAGAGCCTGTTACCAGCCTCTGTCTCTCCTGCTGTGTCTTGCTTATTAGTGCTCACTGCTTGTCCTGAAGTCCTGTCCTGTCACTGTTGGTTAAGAAGCTCTAGTGGCTCCTGCCAACCCTATCAAGTTCAGACCTCATTCAAACTCAAGTAGTGAAACAGGAACACACGGAAGCAGTTTTGTTTCTCTGATCAATTAGTTTAGGAAACACGGGACCTGCCATTATCTAGTATAATTTTTTTAAAGTAAAAACTCTATGATCCTGGAAAGAGTTTAGAATATAGTGTGATGTCAGTAAAGACTACAAGCCATTTATAGTTTCTGTTTCTATATTCCTTTTTTTTTCTTGCTTATAAGTGCAAATATATGTGTATTTAGTCATTTAAAAATGTTTGGAGCCCAAGCCGGTTTGGCTCAGTAGATAGAGTGTCGGCCTGCGGACTGAAGGGTCCCAGGTTCGATTCGGCCAAGGGCACATGCCCAGGCTGCAGGCTTGATCCCCAGTGTGGGGCGTGCAGGAGGCAGTCGATCAATGATTCTCTCTCATCATTGATGTTTCTATCTCTCTCTCCCTTTCCCTTCTTCTCTGACATCAATAAAAATATATTTAAAAAAATGAATAAAAATAAAAATGTTTGGAAAGATAGAGAAAATGTTAACAGTCATTATCTATGAGTGGTGGAATTTTCTTTTGACTTATCAGTATTTTCTAGTTTTTTCTTAAATTAGCATATATTACTTCATACTAAACAAAAGTCATTAATGAAAAATGGATTTAGCTCATCTCTCTGTAAAATGGGGATTAAGACAGAATGTAGAAGCCAGGTGAGTCATCAGTAAGTATAGAAGCTGACTGAGTACAGCCAGTTGACGTTTGCAAGTTCTTTAAAATTAGCAAGGTCATGGGAAATAATAATAACCTTTTTTAAAAAATATATTTTTATTGATTTCAGAGAGGAAGGGAAGGGGGAGAGAGAGATAGAAACACCAATGATGAGAAAGAATCATCGATCAGCTGCCTCCTGCACGCCCCACACTGGGGACCAAGCCCGCGACCCGGGCACGTGCCCTTGACTGGAATCGAACCCGGGACCCCTCAGTCCGCAGGCTGACACTCTATCCACTGAGCCAAATAGGCTAGGGCAATCATAACCGTCTTTAACAAAATTCAGTCTTCCAACTGGCCTGAATCTGGGCCAGGGAAGAGAGCATAACAATGATAAAAAAGTTTTCTCCTTCTACCTTCTGGATTCAAGTCAAACAGAAGGAATTACAGCCTGTAGTAGGAATTCTTAATCTTGGGTTTTTGATAAACCCCTAAAGTTGTATGCTAATCTGTGCACATTTGTCAGGAGAGAGTCCTTGCTTTTATAAACAAGTTAACTAAGACTATGGGCTGGAGAGTCTTTCCACTTTCAGAGGATTGTGGGACAAGGCACTTATTTTTATTGCTAAGACTACTTAAGTCAGATAGCTTTTCAACGAAACAGGTTAAAAATGACAGTGAAGAACCTATGGTGAAGATACTACTTACACCTAGAAGTAGGAATGTGTGACTGATGGAAAAATTACCAGAAATAATACATCCGGGGGGGGGGGGGGTAGAGGGTAATGTGGGGACAAGGACACATATGTAATATCTTAATCAATAATAAAAAATAAAGAAATAATACATCCAACTGGATGACATCTTCTTATACCAACTTTCCTCCGTGATGTTGCTCAATATATCGTGGGAATTTTCTTCAGAGCTCATGACATATTCTTTTAAATCGCCTCAATGATGGGCAAATCGTGCCTATTGGGGCTGAATTTGGGTTTTATCAATTGTCAAATGTTGCCTAAAATGAATAAAGAGGTAAATACCCACTTTTGGCTACAAATGAAAAGGTGAATCACAAGATATTTTCATAGTTGACTTATTTGACTGAACACTTCTAAAAACGTTTTAAACAACAATGGCTCTGGACTTTTAATGCCTGTTTGCTTTTGTTCTTTCTACTCAGGGTTAATTTTTGTTTGTTTGTTTTTTTCTTCTGTGCAATGGCCAGATATATCGATACAGCTAATGCTTTAGAGCAAGAAACTCAACTGGGGTTACGACGCTTTGAAGTTTGCGACAATGTTGACCTTGAAACTATTTTGATGGACTATGAGAGCTATTATTTTATAAAATTTCAGAAATACCCCAAAATTATCAAAAAGGCACCAGACACAGGTACATGGCTATTTTCTAGAAATAAAACTTTATCTCATCTCTAAGATTAGCATTTCCTCCTCCTTTTATTCCCAGATAGATGGTGCCCCTCATGCTGTGCTGAAGGACTAGACCAGACAGATCCCGTAGCTTCCCTTAAATTCAGTGCAATTTAAATATGATCTGTGGACATGGACATTCCTTTAGTTATGTTGGCATTTGTTTGAGGAACATGTTTGAGGACAATGAAGGCAAAACCTCAGAGTATCACAGGTCCTTTTTTTTTTTTTTTCCAATTCTAGTTTACATTCAATAATATTTGTATTGGTTTCAGGTATACAGCACTGTGGTTAGACAATCAAATACTTCACAGGTTCTTTTTAGAAGCCCAACATTACTTTCATTTCTGTAGAGAGGGAAAGAGCTGTTAGAAGAGGATAAATGACAGAAGATTCTTTTCTTGCTAGGAAGACCTATTATCTATCTTGAAAATAACATGAAAATGAGTATTGGTGAAGCTAATAGCTCATGTATAGATAATGAAATGCTTTAGAAAGCCATCAATCCAGATAATGATCAATATTTTGCAAAGACCCAGTATAGGTTAACAGTCAAGGAGGCTGGCTGGAGGAAAGATCTAAAGTGAGGGCCCTATGTTTTGTAGTAACATTGACTTAGAAGTCTGTAAGTGGGGGAAGTAATTATAAACCAAGGGAGATCATTGTCCTGTTTACAAGGCACTCGTTAAGCCACAGACTTTAACATTTCATGTGGGGACCAGGAAATCAAGAGGAATGTCAATTAAAAATAGCTAGGGCCGAATCTCAGAGCTGGAAGATATCTGAGAGAGAGGTGTTTTATCTAAACTCCCTTCCAGTGCAGGGTTCAGAGCCCTTGGCTGCTGGATCTGAGTCATGGCAGAGAAAGCAAGGACTCTTAACCACTGGGACAGTAGAACTATTATTGACATGATCTGATTTCTCAATTGCCAGCTCTGCTCTAGCTTGGAAATGCCTTCTCCTGGGATATGCACACTAACTCTTTATGTTCAGATAAACTGGCAGAGTACGACTGATAAACAGTACCTGCCAGACTCATGGAATTGTATTGGTGTCCCACAGACCAAGGCAAAATATTTTCAAGTTCATGAAAACCTAATGAAATGGTAACTAAGCCCATACTGGAGTTGTCACTAGGTCCATGGTCTCCAACAGGTTTAATATCCAAGGCCTTTGGGGTCTTTCTCTACCTGGAAATATTTGGGAAGCCTGGGCTTCTTTCTCTTCACTGGTAGTTTCACTTCTCTCTAGATAAGAGTAGCTTAGAGTCGTTAAATTCCAAAAGGCTGTTGCACAAATTTAAAAGCAATGTAAAAGGACAAACATACTTGAAAAATCACTTTCTCTTAAAAATGAAATTCTTTCCTTTTCCTCCCAATATCTGTTTTGCTGCAGCAGAAAGTAACTTACCACCAAGAAGTGGAGGGAAGGCCAGAAGGTAAAGTAAATGGTAATTCATCTTGATCAACTCAACTCCAGGAGTTTGTGGGACCCTTTCAGGAGATGCTCCAGTGTGGCTCCATGACTGTCTACCAGCAGCGCCAGGCTGTGGTCATGTGATTTAAGTGGCCCCAGCCATGTGTTCGCTCATGTTACAAATGTCCAGGACATGGGCCAATGTCTGTCAGTTCTACTGGTTTTACTGCGAATAGTTGCACCCACTTATGCTCTGTCTTTCTCGGCTCAGTGGTTTGAAAAGGATGGACCTCAGAGATGAAAAGACCTGGGTTCAGTTCTGGGCTCTGCTTCTGACAAGCTAGGAGCATGTTTCTGACACATAGTGAGTTCCCTGCACATACTGAGCACCCAAGAAATATTATTTTCCCTTTTAAAATCATACCTGAGTTTCTTTGTGCACGCCCATGTCCTGACCTGTCTGAAGATAATCAGGCCTTCCTTTTCTGGCACTCATCTTATATTCCTTTCTCTAGCTTCTCAAATCCAAATCTCATTTAGGACTTGTAGCATATGATGGAATTCCTCTGTCTCTTGACCATGCTGGGGAGACACAAGGTCCCACCACTTTTGCCTCAGTGTCCTCCGCATTCCCTTCTTCCCACTCCCAACTCACACCCACTGTCAGAGCCTGTTCAGAAATGGCCAGGAGTGCAAGGGCATAGGTGCCAAGGACGGCATAGCTTTGGGGCATAAAGGCCTGTAGATTTTTCTGCTATAATAAGGCCCAAACCTTAGGGGAAGGTTGAAATGGGGTTTTAGTAGGGGCCCCACAACCATTCAGTCAGTGAACAAAATTTCTTTAAATCTTAGAATGCAATGGAAGAAAACTTAGATTATAATCACAAGCAACCCATTAGGCCTTTAGGAGGTATGAGTTCCATGTGCCCCACTAAGTTCCTTGCCCTTGTGACTCCAGTCCCTGGTGTGCAGCCTAAGAAGGAAGGGTCAGACACCTCACAGGACTGTTTGGCATCATTTATAAAATGGCTGTGGAGCCCTGAAAGCTTTGTGATAATATGCTGCCTGAGGCTACCTTTGCTTTGCACTATTCTTTAGGAATGTTTTATTGTTTTGACCGAATGTTATTCTTTTTTTTTTTTTTAATATATTTTATTGATTTTTTACAGAGAGGAAGGGAGAGGGATAGAGAGTTAGAAACATCGATGAGAGAGAAACATCAATCAGCTGCCTCCTGCACACTCCCCACTGGGGATGTGCCCACAACCCAGGTACATGCCTTTGACCGGAATCGAACCCGGGACCCTTCAGTCTGCAGGCCGACGCTCCATCCACTGAGCCAAACCGGTTTCGGCCGAATGTTATTCTTTTATTTATAGTTGCCATAAAGCTAGTCAGACTTTGGTAATAAATAAGTACTTCTGAATAGACCCAGTGAGGAACATTTTAAGAGGATGGCTTTGGGGAACACATTTAGATTCTGATTATTTTTCAGCCATACGTTCATGCTTGACATTAGCTCAGCATTCCTTACCTGGCAGAACATTCTGTGAGCGAATGTCATTGGAGAGCTTTGCTTCCCTTCTGGTCTAGAGGTTGATGGCTTGGGGTTCTTTCAGCTCTCCTCTGAGTAGATGTTTGCACCCGCAAGCATGAAGGTTGGATAGCAAATGGCTGGGATCAGGATGGATAACTAGGAAAATAATGAATGGTATTTGTTTACAGTTTTATACTCAAAGATAGTTGTTGAAATGAGAGGTTGTATCATGAGACTGGCTACTAACAGATGAAAGTGCCTTTTCCTAATTCTTGCATCTCACACCAAAGAGCAAGCTCCCAGCTTAGAAAATTGCAGCTGACCCCAAGAAGGAAAACTACTTTAATGTGATGGATGACAGAATTAGGATGCCATAAGGTCTTGACAATTTAGGAGATGGGCCCAAAATAACAAGATGAAATTTAATGAAATATGATTTAAACTCTATCCAAAGATTCACAACAAATACCTCCCCTATTACAAAACCAGAGACTTAGGAATCTGAGTGAACTGCAGATGCAGTGTGAGTCAACAGTGTAGTGTGACTGCTAATGTGGTTTTGGGTTTCATCAATAGAAATAGTCTGGAAAGTAGGAGGTGGCTCTATTCTGGTCAGAAGACTGGATTAAAGGTGCCCAGGATGAGTAAGAATCTAGGAGCCAGATGACCTTAGGAATGCCTGGAGAAACTGGAGATGTTTAGTTTGAAGAACAGAAGACTTGGGGTGGGGGTGGTCCCTACAATAATGCAGTAGCTGTTGTCACTCTCTAGAGAGAGATTGGATCTTCTCTGTAAAATTCCACAGGTCATGCCTAGAACTAGTGACTGAAGTTAATTAACAGGGTGAATTTGGTTCCATATTAGAAAGAATTTTACAATCCTTAGAGCTGATTGGAAAGGAATTGTGTTGCTTTGCACATTAGTGCACTTGGTTTTGGTTATGTTAAAGCAAATCTGTGAATCATTTGCCTCCAGTGGGAAAATAGGCTTCCTATTTCCTTACAGCCCCACAGGGTGTTGAGGCAAATTTAACTCTCTCTATAGGTCTATATCTATCTATCTATCTATCTATCTATCTATCTATCTATCTATCTATCTATTATCTATCTATCATCTATCTATCATCTATCTATCTATCTATCTATCTATCTATCTATCTATCTATCTATCTATCTATCTATATCTCTCTATCTATCTTCATCATCATCTATCTATTCTTACTTCATTTAAATCAATGCTATTCACAAGGGTTTGCACTTATGAAATGTCTGGTATTCATTTCATAGATTTTCATTGCTGTGCCAGCAAAAGACCTGAGGGGCAGACATTCTTGTTCCTAATCTACAGATGAAAAACATATGCCCTGATAAACTGGCAGTTGTTCCTCTGATGACATTTACCCCATTGGGCCCAATACTGTCATTGCCACGTGTGGACACTGGTGGTATTGTTGGCATAGATGGTCTCACTGGCCAAATAGCTATATGGTTATAGTAGACATGACCAACTTTTTCTTTCTCACAAAGAAATGGAGTTGAAATGGCAGCTCTCTGAGACCACTTAGCACAGGGGGAGAAAAATTTTAGAAATGCATCTCACGTGAGAGGGCAAGAGAATGAGAGAACCAAACACCTGATGATGTGGGTATCTGTGTAGGGAACAAGTATATTTTACCTCTGTACTGATGTATAACATAGATAGAGTCAAGGCATATATACTCATAACTACCACTGCTGGCAGTCCAACCAGCAGGCTCCCTCCCCAGTCAATACCCCCATCGCCACCTCAGTTAGCCACTAATTCTGACTTCCAGCCCCATCAATTCGTTTTGCCTGAAGTATACAATTCTGGTGAAAATTTGTTTTATAAACATGAATGACCTGTGACAACAGATGTGGTAAGGTTGCTTTCCTTCCATTAGCCCCTTTGGCATCTATTGCGCACAGTACAATGGGAGGTATTTTAAGTAGACAAAGCACACCCAGCACACTGGTTTGAAACCATGGACAAATCCCTAGGCTTTCCAATGCTCATTTCTCTGGGTGGAGGATCCTTCCTCCTGTGCCTTTCCCTGCTCTTCCAGAGGGAAGGGGGAGTGGGAGCTGGGTGGAGGTGGAAAGAAACAAGGGAAGGATGTTTGTAAAGCATTTTAGGAAAAGAAAGCTATTTACAGAAGGGCTGAAGCCATGGGTCATGAAAGGGAAATGCAGAGAGTGAGTCAGGGGCCTCTAGGAGGAGGTGGCCCTCTAGCTCCGTCTTGCAAGAATCTAATGGGTAGATTGAGTGAGTCAGGCTTGGATGGACAGGATAGGGGTGCAGATGTTAGGGCCCTATGGTGGTATACCTGTCTATCTTTCAAGAACTCTGTGTGCTCCACATGTTGTTTAGTTACCTCAGACTAAGTGGTTAGAATAATTTCCTTCAAGTTCTTTGTTTCCTCCCCTAGGGTGATGAATGACAGTTGTCAAAATCTTCCCATGATCAGTCAGCTGAGGCCACGGTCCAAAACTACGGTGGGAAAGCCAGGGGAAGCCAAACACCTCTATAAGGAACATCCTAAACAGGTCAGGACAGCTTTGCTTGGTGTTGGTAAAAAAGCAGGTGACTGAGAAATAGCCCCAAGAAAACAGTCACTTTTTTCTTTTGAGGACCTACGTTCTTTTAAATTGCTGTATGATTTCACTAAATTGTAGATTTTCTTCCAAGTCGCTGGATTAAAACTACAAGCAAATTCCTAGTCTTCCTAATGTTTCTGACTTTGAGTGGGAGGGCTCCTCCCTCCCTATCCTTTCCCCTGGTCTGAGTGCTGGGTGACAGCCCTCGAGAAGTGAGCCCTGGGCATGGCAGGAGGGCCTGTTTGCTGCAGAGTCCCATCCTCCCATTTGAGGTAACTGTAGTTAGCAGGCCTTCCTGTCCTGAAGCACCTTCCTGGGTTCCTAGATATGGGCCAGAGGTTGTCTTGGGTGTGGCTGGCCTCAGAGTCTCCTGTTGGATTTCTCTGAAGTGACACGGTTGGTCCCCACCCCAGACCTCCACACTGGACTTTCTGGGGGAGATGGGGAGCAAGAGGAGAGAGTCCAGCAGGCAGGTGAGACCAGCAGCTCCTGATTTGGGAGATCCAGGCCTAGAGATTCCTGGTTTAGGACAAAACATACCAGATTTCTAAGGGAACAGAACCAATAGAGACTGTGAAACATAATTAATGCCAAAGATATCCCGGGGGGTAGAAAGAAATAATCACAAACGTCAGTTGGTCAAAAGGAATCTCTCACCCTCAAAGAGGTTGGGTGGTCTGGTCATTGTAGTCTGACTCAGGCAGAAGGGAAGTAGAAGGGCAGAAGATAAATCCCACAGGAGCTGGCTGGCTGCTGCCCTTCAAACTCAGCACCCCTGGCCACAAACACCTTTGGTCCCAGGAGAAAAGACAAGCCAGCAAGTGGGAATGGGTTGAGACATTGGAAAAGCTGCTTGCTTCCAAGGCCAGCTTCTTCTGGGTAGATTGTTAGTTCATTTTGGGGCTGCACAGAAGGGCCGAATTACACATGGGGTTCCCCATTTACAGAACTGACCTCCAGCATTTGCCATTTGATTTGGGGTAATGGAATAGGCCGTTATAACCAGCATCTCTATGTCCCTTTTGACTTCTACCTGTCTTCCTCTTTCTTCAGGAGGTTGTCAATAACACTGGCATGGAGAGAGCCAACTTTGGCTTAACTATATCAGGAATCAACAGAGGCCGTGGAGGAGAAAATGTCCGTCCACAAAGAGTAAGTGGAACTCATGAACCTGACACTGAAAGGGAAAATCCCCTTTTCTTTTAAAAAAATGATAATAAAAATGTTATTTCTGTCAAACAGAAAAGTTACTATGTAATGATCAAAGGTTGACTATGTAATGATCAAAGGTTGGCTGTGAGGTGAACTGGAAAGAGCACTAGGTAAGGATTAGAACCCTGGGGTTCTGGTCTGACTCTTCCTTCTAGATGAATGGACTTGAATGAACTGCCTCATCTCTAAGGAGCTCAGTTTCTTCATTTGCAAGTTGAGATATTTGGAAGAGATTGTTTCTAATGTTCCTTTCAGCTTAAAATTCTGTGATTAAAATAATAAACATTGGCATGACTGTTCTGCATTATTTAAGAAGTGACCTCACCCTAGCTGGTTTGGTTCAGTGGATAGCGCATTGGCCTGTGGAATGAAGGGTCCCAGGTTCGATTCTGGTCAAAGGTACATACCACCAATGCAGGCTGGATCCCTGGTCCTGGTTGGGACTCGTGTGGGTGTCAACCAATCAATGTGTCTCTCTGATATCCATGTTTCTTTCTCTCTGTATTTCCCCCTCCCTTCCATTCTCTCTAAAAATCAATGGAAAAAAATCCTCGGATGAGGATTAACAACCACAAAAAAAGGGCCTCACATTCATTCTTTTCTGCCTGTCAGTAGTTGTTGATTAGTGGTGTCACCTTTCTCCTTGGAGGTATGGCTTCACCTGGAATGTAATTTCCTGTGAACCATGGAACCTATGTTGACAGAGAATTGATCTTGTCCTTGATAAATATTCTACCTCTTTCACGACGAACCTCATGTCCTGATTTGTAAATAATAGTTTCTCAAAAGAAAAGACCCAAATTGGGTGAATGTAGGCAAAAGGCCGGTAAAACATGTCACTTGGAAATGAAAAGTAGCATCAACACCAACATATCTCTTGATTGTAACTTCTAGAGTTGTATTTCTTTAAGAGTCATCTTTCTTTTCTTTCTTTGATCAAGTTCTTACTTCTAGTCAACTCTTCTCAGCCATACTCAACTCTGGGTTGTGCATATTTAGAGAGGAAGCTGGGGGCATCTCCTTGGAAATCAAGGGAGCTGTCTCATTGGCCTGAACTGACTCTTTTCAGGGCCTCAAATATATGAGTGATTGCTGGAGAAACCATTTGAATCTGTGTCTCCCACGGAGAAACACGTCCCTGGTTACCTTCACTACTTTCATTGTATTTTCAGCCACTTTTGTGCCTAGCAGTTTTGTGGCATTAGTTTCTCTCCTGAATGCCTCAAGTTCACATGGATGGATGTTTCTGATCAGGTCATAAGGAAGGGACTATTTAACCCAGCACTTAACCTTTGGAAGAGTCTGGCTGTAAATTCTCTCACAGCAGAAATGTCCTCAGGGGTAAATGTACATGATTTTCTTCCTATCATTTCATATGTTTATAAGCTGAATGAGGGTGTATGGCCAGGAGGCTGATCTCCAAAGTGTGTCTCTCATTGCCATGGTAGGGCCCTCAGCTTCAGGATTCCCCAGCCCCCTTTGCAACTTTAATAGGCATGTTGCTCCTGAAGGTAATGTCTTTGGAATCAGCCTGTCTAGGTTCAAACCCCGGCTCAGACCTTCCCAGCTGTGTAACCTTGGACAAGTTGTTCAATCTCTCTAAACCTCATTTCTTTTTTTTCTTTTTTTTTTTAAATATATTTTATTGATCTTTTACAGAGAGGAAGGGAGAGAGATAGAGAGTTAGAAACATCGATGAGAGAGAAACATCGACCAGCCGCCTCCTGCACACCTCCCACTGGGGACGTGCCCGCAACCCAGGCACATGCCCCTGACCGGAATCAAACCCGGGACCTCTCAGTCCACAGGCCGACGCTCTATCCACTGAGCCAAACCGGTTTCGGCTAAACCTCATTTCTTTCAGCCGCAAAATGGAAATAATCATAGGGTCACTTTAAATGTCATAATAAATGGAGGGTCTTAGTACAGTGCCCAGCACACAATAAACACTCAATAAATGCCAACTATAATTATTGTTATTTGTTTTTGCACACATCCTTACTATTTCCTTCTTCCTAGAGGGGAGACAAGGTGGATTTGGAGGGAGTATGAGAGACAAGTATCTGGGTTTGAATCCTGGCCTGAAGCCACTTGTTAGCTGTGTGGCCCTGGGCAGATCATGGAATTTCCCTCTATGAAACTAGGCTATCACAACTGACTAACAGAAGTGTTGTAAGACTTAGAAAAAAATCAAAAGTACAGATTGGTAGTTACAAAATAGTCATGGGGATGTAAAGTACAGAATAGGAAAATAGTCAATAATCTAAATATATAAAAGGCTAATATGCAAAGTGTCCCCTTGGGAGTTCTATAGGGAGACCAGGAGTTTGACTTGGAGACCAGGAGTTCGATTGCTCGCTATGATGTGTGCTGACCACCAGGGGGCGGCGTGGAATGAAAGAAGGCCCTAGGCCTAGGGACCCTACCTGTGCATGAATTTTGTGCACTGGGCCTCTAGTATTGTAATAACTATGTATAATGCCATGTGGGTACTGGAAATATGGGGGAGAAGAGGGGAACACTTTGTAAAGTATATGATTGTCTAACCACTATATTATACACCTGAAATTAATACAAAATAATATTGAATATAAACTGTAATTGAAAAATATTTAAAAATTTTTAAAAATGAAATAATCTTTGTAAGGTAGCTTTGTGCCAGGTACTCTACTGAGAAAGTCCATAGTAAATAGGAACTATCATTACTTTTGGGCCAATGAGTCTTTCCTGTGTGTGTAATGTTCCAAAAGGAGGAGACAGTATAGGGAAATAGACATGTAAGGAAGCAGATGGTCTGTGTCAGGAACTGAAAAATGCTTGTGAATTTCCACTTAAACCAACTTCATTCTGAAGAATTTATTTACAACTTGGTTTTTTTTTTTCTAGAGTGCCCTCACTTCAGGAAATTACCTTGTTCATTATTAGTGCAGGTTATTTTAAAGCTTCACTTTCAGTTTGGCCTACACACCAAGGAACATTAATGTGTCTTGGTTTAATGATGCCGAGCTATTAAGGATAGTCTTTCCTCAAGTTTTAATGGTGTAAATAAACCATTACTCCCTTTCAGGGCCAAATCATTGACTTCCAAGGGCTGCTCACAGACGCTATCAAAGGAGCAACCAGCGAACTTGGCTCGAACAGCTTTGAGTGTGACCCAGACCCTGCAGTAAGTGGCTAAAATGTGTCATTCATCTTGTAAACTGCCAAAGTCCAGAAGAACTTTAGAGATATAATTTTGAGTCAAAGAAACCTTGAGATCGGGTAGAAGGTCATAGCCATCCACCACCATTTGTGTCACTGTGATCCATGCCCTCTTTTTCTTCCTAAATTATGAAGCAATGTTATAACATGAGGTGTTTTGCTCCCATCATCAGGAACGACTGCTGAAACCTCTGAGTGCATTTATTGGCATGAACAGTGAGATGCGAGAACTGGCAGCTGTGGTGAGCCGGGTAAGATCAGATATTCAATTCACAATTTACAGAGGTGGATTGGAGCTCCTGGAGCATTGTGGGCTGCTTCTTTTATTAATAACAATAAATATGATCATTTATTTATAAAGTGCCCCCACTTGCAAAGGCACTCATATTGTTTAGAGGCACAATAATGCATGATAAATAAATTATAGAATCATAAAATTACAATATAAAAAGCCCACCATCTCACTATAGAGGCCAAGAAAACCAAAAAGACTTAGAAAGTAAGGGACAGATGGGTGAAAGGTTTTAGGCTGAGCCAAGAGTTAAAGAAAGAAAGCCTCTTAGAGAAGGAAAGAGCATGTCTGCATCTTGTTTAAACAGTCAAAGCCTGGAAATAGAGATGTCAGGAGTCTGATGATTTCACAAGTGGAAATTTCCATGAAATACAAGATTAGTAGGAAAGAGCTTACTATCCAGATTACTGAGTTTTCAAGGCTGCCTGCCCCCGAGAATCTAAAGGCAGGGAAGTCTTTTGGTAAATGACAGAGGCTTTGGAATTGGATGAGCTGGATTTGATGTCTAAATCCTCCTTTTTCTAGCTGTGTGACTTTGGGCAAGTTCCTTGGGAACAGAAGAGATTCCTGAGTTATAGCAGACTTTCTCTAACTTCATGGAAGACTGAAATCTAGGCAGGCTCCGACAGATGTTTAAAATGGTGCAAAAAGCTGCACTGTGACTGAGTAATTCAGCGTCTGCAGCTCAGCTCTCTTTCAGTTCAGCAGTTGTTTGCTGCATGTCTACTATGTGTCAGGCATGTGCGGGGGCTGGAAATGCAAAGGTGACCCAATCACACAGTCTTTGCGTGCAAGCGTTTCTCATCCCAGCGGAAGGTGGACATCGAAAGCATAAAAAGGAGGAGTGTTTTGTGCCAAAGGGAGGGGAAGTGTTAGGGAAGAAGGTATCCAGGAAATAAGTATAAGACGGATGGTGGGGAACTTTCTGGGAAAAGGAACATACCTGTGAAATTGTATTGATTAAGCAGTGTTTCCAGTGAGCAATGTAAGATGCAAGGAGTGCTGGGAAATGGGGCTGGAGAGAGAGGCCAGGGTTCCTGAGTAAAGGGCCCAGTGAACAGGGCCCAGGGTGGAGGACCTGCCTGCAGCAGGTGGGGAGCCTTTCAAAGGTGTCCATTGAGACTGGGGTATTCAAATGTGCTTATAGATAGCTTGTTCTGTTGACAGTGTACTGAATGGATATCAAAGAAATGGAGATAGGGAGACCAACTCTGAAGTTATTACTAGTGAGAGAGGATGAGGGATTGAGCCAGGCTGTGGTAATTGGGATGCATAAGAGAGTAGAGAAAAATATTTTTTATGGTCACAAAAATCAATAGTCTCATTATTGTTTTTGCAAAAGGATAACATGACTAGTGATTATAGAGTTGTAGAGTGGAAGTGTCCTGAAAGGGTTCCATCTGGAATCCTTCCTACAGTACCACGGGAAGCAGTCATCAGCCTCTGAATGCTTTCATGATGCGGAGCTTACCACTTCATGAGGTAACCCTGTTGAGTTCTAACTAATAACACTTGATTGCTGTAAGGAAAAACTCTCTGTTGGGAAATTAAACACCTCCATGTGGAACTCAATGTCAACTTTAGAAGAGGGCGAGATCTGTGAGTGGCTGGTGGGCATGCAGGTCCAACCTGGTAGGTCCTCCCAAGATCTTGGGAGACAGTCCTTTCTCTGTGTCCCCATCCAGGAATGGATCATGCATACCATGCGTGACCAGAAACACTTGTATGAATAGTCTCTCTAATGAAAGTCCTTACCTGTGGGTGAAGGGAACTGGGAGGACAGAAGACAGGAGTGGGAGCATAACATCTCACCAGCATTTAAAAAATATGTTTTTATGTTTTTGAGCTTGTGCATGTATTACTTATTTAAAAATTAAATAACTATAAAAATAGTTTCCGGATTGCTGCATAATCCTCAGAATGACTTTGGAAAGGAGGCTTTTCTCTCTTTTCAATGTAACACTCTAGATACTCAGTTTTCCTGAAACAGCTCCTACTGAGAAAGGCCCTTGAGTGACAGTTCTGAGGCGTCTTGTGAAATTGGAATTTGGAAACGGTAAATGAGTTATCAGTAAAAGCTACCTTAATTGATTAACCTAGGTGGCTGCTACAGGGCTCTACTATAAAAGGGGAAAACTCACTTTTGCTTGGTTGTTGGCTTCCTTGAATTCTGTAGAAGCAATTGCTCTTGGTGGAAGTAGGGAGTGATCACTAGGGAAAAAGAGAAATTGGTTTCAGAGGAGCATTATCTCTTTCATGCAACAAATTAAGAAAGTGTTTGCGAGATCAAGGAGCAAGAGAGAGGCCAGGCACCAGCTAGGAACTATGTTTCACAGTAAAAGTGCATGTAATTTGAAGGCATGTTCTATAGCTTCTTTGATTACGGTCATAAATCAGCCTGGTTTGCTATTAACTGAAGACGGGTATAGTCCATTGTTAGGAGCTCGCCCCCCCCCCCCCCCCATATTATATAATCAATGTCTTCTTCAGGGAAAATCACTGAATATTCTTATGGCATCCCTTTGGTGAACCAAAATTACAGTGTGCATATATACATATATCTAACATAAACTTTTTTTATCACCAGCTCTTTATGTCCTATTGTAAGTCAAGTATTCTGTGGCTCCCATGTTTATTGCAGCTGTGGAGGAAAACATTAGTTTTAACAAAATGATCAAATGTGCATTGCAGGACATTTATCTCCATAATCCAAACATAAAGTGGGATGACATTATTGGACTCGATGCAGCCAAGCAGTTAGTCAAAGAAGCTGTGGTGTATCCTATAAAGGTAAGGATGAGAAGCCTCTTGGGGGGTATTTCTATTCACATCCATTGGACAAGCTGTATGTCATAACACCCATTAGGGAGAGAAGCCCAGGATGTTTTCTGTCCACAAGTTAGCCTTTTGCCTATACTTTGGCAATGCTGGACTACCAAGGCCCATGCCACTCTAGGCAGTTTGAAATGTTACACAAGGTTTCAAGGCAGGTATCTGCTCTAAGTGATAATATTAGATCTAAGACTGAAGCATATAATACTTGTCAGTTCCTGTAGATTGGTTCAAATTAGTCTGCCTCCCTAAAAATATACCATAGTAGAAATATCTCCTGTAGGAGAGGGCCACTTATTTTGTTTTCATAGATCTATATTCCCCAACACACACACACACACACACCCATCCTTTGAGGCGTTGCTTTTGACTGGTTGTAAAGACTAGGGAGCTCCCTCCAGGGCACTGGCCAGTGAGCCAGCCTGTTGTGCTCATTGCTTGCTGCTGACAAGTCATTGTATGGAGTGGCTCACTGAACAGGAAGAAAAAGAAAAAACAAGACTCTCTATGTTTGGTTATAAACATGGTGATGAGAAGGTCAGTGTATGACAGCTTTTGTATAATAGACACACTCTCCAAATGCAGTGCCTTTGAAACAATCATCATTTATCTGTTTGCAGTTTTGTGGGTATGCAGTTTGGAAGGGGCTCAGCTGGGCTGGCCCATCTCTTTTTCAGGTGATATTGGTTGGCCTCACTCACATGTCTGGGGCATCAGCCAGGATGGTTGGAGAAGATGGAGAGGCTGGGAAATCTGGGATAAACGGGACAGCTGAGGCCTTCCACGTGCCTCCAGCAGGCAAGCTGGTGTTCACATGGTGGCAGAGAGTCCCAGACAGAAGCAAGAAAGGGCAGGTCCCAATCCATGCGCATTTCCCATGTCTCTTCTTACATTCCTCATATCAGCTAGTCTTATATTTTCAAGTTTCTTCTTATATTTCCTAACGTCCCATTGGCCAAAATCACAAGGCAAAGTCCAGATTCAAGTGGTAGAGAAATATACTTTGCCTATTGGTGGAGGAGCTGCAAATAATTTTCTGTAATCTCCTGCAGTCATGTTTACAAATTTATTCAATAACTTATTTATTTTTACCACGGAGCCCATGCAGCCCCTGCTTTTTGGATGCTTCTATTCTAATGAGATAAAATCAATACATTTGGATTGTGTTCCCCGCCCCCCTTTTATTTCCCATGTTAAGACTGGTGGGTAAGCAATATGCTGGTGCTCAGAATTATGGAAAGTTTACTCACCATGTCCTCTGAGTGGCTCTAGAACAAGACTTTTGGACAGGCTAGAACATCTCATTGAAGCTCTCTGGATGTGCTATCTCCATGGTATCATAGGCTCTGTATGTGATGACATAGAGATTTTGACATTTCATCAACAAGAAACTAATAGCTAGTTACGATTTTACTATTATCTTTGCTTCTAGTTGTTTTCTACCAACCCTACTCACCCTCTAGATTGTTGAATATGAACTATGAGAGAGACTCGCTGAAGTCATGCATGTCCCATTTGAAGCCCGTGTCTCATAATGCCGTCTGCATTGGATGTTCCTAACTTCTACGTGACTTCTATGTCAGGCTTCACCAGTTGTTTTTTTTAAAAAGATATCCAGTTGTTGTTTTTTAAATATATTTTTATTGATTTCAGAGAGGAAGGGAGAGGGAGAGAGAGATTGAAACATCAATGATAAGAGAGAATCATCAATCGGCTGCCTCTTGCATGCCCCACACTGGGGATCAAGCCTGCAACCTGGGCATGTGCCCTGGCCAGGAATCCTGGTTCATAGGTTGGTACTCTACCACTGAGCTACACCAGCCGGGCTCACCACAGTTTTGTGCTTTATTCACATACACCTTTATTTGTTGGTTCTAGTGTTTCTCTTAAAGTTCATATCTGATAGGTCTTTATATAGAGCTCAGGGCCGGGGTGAGGTGGGGTGGGGAATGATGTTATGCATATAAGAAATAACTATTTTAATGGAGAAGCAGAGTACCTACATATGCCGTTCTTTTCCCTAAAAAAAGTTGCTCTTTAAAAAGCCTCATAACTTAAGCCATACGTTCATATCAAATGTGAAAGTCAAGTTGGGATATATAAGATAGATACAGAAGCAGCCAGCCTTACTAAACGAAAGACCTGACTCTCAGAGTTGGGCTGTGCTCACTCCAGCTTCACCAGCTTGCCTGTGCTAGGGTGTGACTGGCATACAGATACCAAACCTCACCACTGTTCCTTGTTCCCATAGTACCCACAGCTGTTTACAGGAATTCTCTCCCCCTGGAAAGGACTACTGCTCTATGGCCCTCCAGGTAACGAACATTTCTGGTTTGGTCTTGGTATTAAGTGTGCATGCAGAGGATGAACTGACTCATCTGTCCTTACATCAGGATGTCAAAATGGGGCAAACGAGAGCTGAGGAACCGCTCTCCTTTTTTATTTTGCTTGTGACACTGACTTCTGTCTGTAAGCAGAGAAAGGAAGCTCAAATGCCAATCAGACGTTCTCCACTGTGTCTCTAGGGACAGGAAAGACTTTACTGGCCAAAGCTGTGGCCACGGAATGTAAAACAACCTTCTTTAACATTTCTGCATCTACCATTGTCAGCAAATGGAGAGGAGATTCAGAAAAACTTGTTCGGGTAGGAATTCTTTTTTTGTTTTAATGTATAATTGACATACAATATCAGATTCAGGTGTACATTATAGTGATTCAATATGTATACATATTATGAAATGATTGCCACAATAAGTCTAGTTATCACTTATCACCATACAAGTTATTATGATATTATTGACTATATTTCCTATGCTGTCTAGCACATCCCCATGACTTATTTTACAACTAAAAGCCTGTACCTTTTAATCCCCTTCACCTATTTCACCTGCCCCAACCCCTTCCCTCTCTGGTAACCAGTAGTTTGTTTCATAGATACAGGAATTCTTGATTTTGTTAGAATAAGTTCCAGCAAAACACAGTGGTACAAAATGATGTTACAGTTTACTTGTTTTTAAGTGATTTATATGTTAGAATTTATCCGGGATCTTGATTACCCAAAACCCAGGAGATGGTCTATCATATGTACATATTAATTATGCCCCATCAGCAAAATATGATCTCCCTTCCTTTGGGAATTTGACCAACAGCCCTTTTGTGACTCATGCAACTTAGGAATGGAAACTGAAAAAATTGTCTCTGAAGTGGCCTATTTTTTTTCCTTCATTCAAGAAGCATTTATTATTAAGAATGTGCAGTTTATCCAGTTAACATTTATTGAGAGGCTACTACTATATTCTGGTTCCTAATACTAGGTACTCAAAGGAAGACTTAAGAAATGTAAAACTTAATTATTCATTCAGATGCTCTGAGCAACATTCCTCCATAGTGCTAATAGCTGTAGGTTTTATGTTTTTTCTTTCCTTAAGAGATTGCTTCTATCTTTACAATATCTCATTCATAGTCAATGGCATATTTTATATTATAAAATTTTACCTTTTGAGAATACCTGTTCATGATTTATGCCTCAATGTAAGGTGGGTCCCTCTCAGAAGTCCGGTTAAACTATTGCACTTTGTAGAATGACTGATAAGTAATTAATACTAAATGAATGTAAATATTATATATTTTCTGATAAGAAATTACTCTAAAATAGTATGCTTAAATTATGTTTTCTTGGATGGATTATTTTCATAATATTTTGGCTTAAGGAAGGCATAATAGAATATTTTTAAAGGATTGATTTACCAAAAGTAACCTATTATTTACTACTTTGATATTGTTTTCAAACTGGTCCAAATGCATATGTTTTCATAAATTATCTATCACCCATTCAAGATTATAATAGATGGAAATATATGTTGACATCTATTTCTTTGTTCTTCATCTTGAATCTAACTTACCATATCCAACGATGGGGTTGAAGTTGGTTTGTCCTTAATCTATGGTTCTGTGTGATTCTAGTTAGCTGGATTTTAATAAGTTGAAATCTGACTAATTAGAAGCCTCATCAACCAGAAGACTTTTTTTAAAAGTTCCATTTTTATGTGCTGAGGAACAACAAAACTTTTACAAAATGCCTATAGTATCAGTTTAGCTTTATCTCCTGTCCTGAAAAGTATTGTTTAGAACTATGAGCACCAGACATTGCAAGATGCTTGAAGGAAGAATACATTATATTCCCTGGACAGGACTTAGTTAGACAGAAGAGTAAATTCAGCTATTTTATGAATATTCTCAACAAAGATGAAAACTACATGGATTTTATTGTTTAGTGTTGAATAGGCAGAAAAGTCATTTAGCCAGAACTCTTCCTTCTGTGTGAGCATTCTTTTAAACTAAAATTTTCCTCTGCTTCAGTATTATTTTGTTAGTTTTCTAAGAGTGAGGAAATGACTTCTCACCTTACTTTACAATACATTTAAAAAGTAACTAATCTTTTTGGAAAAAATGTACAAAAGGGTATATAGACCCCTAAACCCAGAGGCAACTTACTGCTACAACATATACGTCTATACCCTTCTATACCTTGCAGGATTTTTTTCACTTGGATGTTGTTACACACTGTTATAAGCAGAGCATATTCTTTTATATATCTGAATGGTATTTCATTGCATGGATGTGTCCCAAAACATGTTAAATCAGTCTTTTCTTGATGGACATTTAGGTTGTTTCCAGTCACTTGCTATTATGAACAAAGCTACAGTGGACAGTCCTTTCATACACACGACTTTGCATATGTAGTCATGTAGAGCAATTTATTTGAAGTAGAATTGCTGGGCCAGAGGGAATGAAGATCACTGATTGCCCACCTCCCTGCCAACAGGGTTGCACCAGCTTACACTCCCACCAATGGTGAGTGTGTTTGCTCTTCCACACCCTGGCCAACACTGTGAAGTACCCAGTTTTGAAATCTTTGCCAATCTGATAGTGAAAGTAATATTTCAGTGCTCAAATTCGCATTTCTTCCATTCTAAATGAATTTGAGCATCTTTTTATAAGTTTCGAAGAATTTGTGTGTCTTTTTCTCTGTGAAATGCATTTTTATTTTGGATATTAAAAAAATATTTCAAGAGGAAAACAGATCACCTCTGCTAACCTTGAAGGATCTCACCTTCTATCCTTTCAGAAGCTACTTTATTTTCTGAGCTCTTGAGAAGATCTTCACCTGAAGAATCTTGGCCATGCTGTCAAATTCCTTACTATGAAGCTTTCAGATGAAGATGGCCCTTCAGGACCTTTCCCCTAAATCAAAGAAGCATTCCTACCATTCGCTTCTCTTTCTATTCCAATTAAGAGTTATTTATAGGGAACCCTTGGGTTGTGTTGCTCCCGCCCCTCCTAATGTTCATGCCTCTTAGGAGTTGATGCTATTGAGTAGTTGAGTGGTCTCTTTAGCAAATGCACACACCTGTTGGTGCTTACATCTTTTAACACCCCTCCTCCCCAATTTTATGATTTAACTTCCTCCCAGTACTTTTGAAAATTTTAGCATAATGCTTTCAGAGCACTTACCCAGGGTTCTGTATATTCTCTGGCAGTGGAAAGGGCAGTGGCGTGGTCTATATGGAAACAGAGGCTCCAGATGTGGTTCTCCTTCCACTTGGATGTTTGGTCTCATCTTGCCCCTTGGTCTCTCTGCACCCCAGGGAGCTCTTTGAAAACATGTATGGTTCTAATAAAGAGTTCTAATATTCAACTTTCCATTGGGAAGATTGCTGTCATTGTGACAAGGACAACAAGTTACTTGCTTCTAGTAAGGTTGTCTCTATATGTGTAAAGGCATGTGTGATGAGTGTCCTGGCATTGATGCTCTTCTCTCAGTTCATTAGGCTGAGCCTGTTGTCATGGTCAAATGAAATAGGATTCTGTAAAGGAGAATACTTGAGCATGAGCATGAACACACCACGCACGCGAGCAGTTTTCCATTCAGTGCTAGGGAGACCTGTAAGGGATGATCTGCTACTACTCATGAAAACCACAACCTGGCTTTTTCTGAGTCCTTCCCTCCTTATTCATTCTGTGATGCTTTGCTAATGCTAAGTGACATGGAGAATAAATCCCCTCTGCCAATTAAAGAACCTTAGTTTTTTTCTAAATCTCTATCGCTTTCTCTGATCAGCCAGTGAAGAATTATATGTGGTGCTCAAGAGATCAGTTTCGGGGTTGAAAAAAAAGGTTTCATTTTTTATACTCTTTTCATCACCATCACATCTCCCTTTAGAGCTCTTCATTTTGTTTTTATATGGCTGTTCTTTTGCTGCTTGCTTTCCTGTTCTTTCTCAGTCTATAACATTTTATTCTGGAATAGAACATTTTATTCAACTGGGAGTTGCCTTCAAGTACCCGAGCCTACCAAGCAGCAGTGTTGGGTGGTATGGGAACCCTGTGGAGTAACTTGGGGAGCAGAGAGGGGCAAAATTTCTGTCTTTTTTTACCCATGACTGGAACTCTAGCCTTTCCCAGCAATTCTTCCTCCTGAGAATAGCTCTCTCATTGTCCTTAAAGGATTAGGGACAATCATCAAATGATTTTACATATTCCATGGGTCTTGTGTCCCTATGAAACATGTCATTGACAGGGGTTCTCAGGGATTGGCTAATGGACTGAAAGATCAGGAATTGAGTTTTATCTTAAGCTCCTCTACTTATGGTTAGTAACCTTGAGATAACCACTTAATCTCTCTGGATCTAATTTTACCAAGTGACAAATGGAAATAATTGGACCATCCAACCCTATAGGATATTCTAGGGAGAAATGACTGTAATGATTATAAAGTTGTTAGTGAAATAACAGAGTGCAGCATAAATGGTTAATAGTATAGTCATTCTAAGCTTTTGCTCTTTGGGAGCACCTGAGAACTTTAAATATATGGGTTTGAACATGTGGTTGCTTTTCTCCCACCCAGGTGTTATTTGAACTTGCTCGCTACCATGCCCCCTCCACCATCTTCCTGGACGAGCTGGAGTCGGTGATGAGTCAGAGAGGCACGGCTCCCGGGTAACAGACAGGGTTTTTTTGGTCATCACTTCTCCCCTCTTGTAAGTGTGTTTGATGGTCGGAAGCCCATCGACATTTACCAGCAGAATGAGCCTATTAATAAGCCCACAAATTTTCTGCAGACACACGGAAAGGTCTTTAAATTAGGTCCTGTTAACTGAATAGCTGATTTAAGTAGTTTTTATAACCGGAGGAAATGTCATCCTCCCTTCCCCCCTTCCCCACAGAGTGGTTTTCAGGCCTGAAGATCACCCAGTCCCACAGTCCCAGGCTGCCGTAACATAATAGTCCTGCTGGCTTAAAATAGCCGCCCGTGACCGCCTCCTCTGGAGCCAGAGAGGCTGCCTGTGGGGAACAGGGCTGCAAAAAGCCAAGTCCCGAGAGGGGCAGGCCTTGACGAGATGTGCGAAGCCGGGGAAGCCACCATTTCTCTGTGACATCAGGATGTGGCTCCGCATGTCCTAACTTAAACATGTCACATATGTTATCTCTAAAGATTAAGTGTCTGCTAATGTCCCCGGCAGGAAAGACTGTTCATTTCTAGTTCACTTCTCAGACTATAATGAGCTGTGTATGTGTGTTTTAAGAACGCCTTTCTGTCTTGATCAGAAGTATTTTTCTCTGAAACTTTTTACTAAATTTGGCTCATTTGGCTTGAAAAAAAACAGGTCTCAGGGAAATCTCAACATGACTGCATTCATCAATGGCCTCTGCTAGTAACGGTCTATCATCAAGGCAGAACTAATATTAATAAAGAACAAATAATGAGCTTGTTGGAAATACAACTAGACTATAATTTATGAAATTTTACTCATGAAAACCATTTTCCCACTACGGTCCATGGGACTCTTACCATTGATTGAAAGGGGATGATTCCATGGTGTAGTGGGTGCTGTCAGCCCCAGGCCAGGGTACTTGGCCTCTCTATACAGGACCTGATGGGAACAGACTACCACACAGTGCGGGCTGGGAACCCAGCAGACCTCCTAGCAGTCATCCCCTCTGCAAAGCCCCCAGCCTGCCTGGTCTGCCTCACCCCAGTGACCTGTGCACTCACTCCATCCCTGGGTCCACACAGAGTTGATGAGCTAATCTTGAAACTCTTCATCTACTGTCCTGTCCTGCGTGTGCTCTAGGTTTGTACTGAATGTCTGTTTCCTTGTCTGGAACTTAATCTCTAAACTAGAATCTTCAAATAGTCAGGGAATCAGTGTAGGTGCTTGGAAACCTGCTTGGGTCCTATTATGTTAAAAGAATAATAATTAGCGGCAAATGCTGACTATATATGTAACCATATTGTGGATGGTCTTCTGTCCTAGGAAAAGGTAGGTAGATAGTAAGGGTCACAGTTCATTAAAAGCCACATACCTGGTTTGGGGTGCCCCAAGATTCATGCAGAGATGAGAAGTTGAATGTCATGTTGTTCAGGACGGCATTTTTTGTCCTTTATGTCCATCTATTCAAGTGCAGAGGAAGGAGAGCCTGCCAGATATGGTCAGTATTTACTAGTAGATACTAGTAATGTTCAGATCCTGTGGTGAGCTCTTTGTTGGTGGGAAGGTCATTGGCAGTGGTGATGGGAGCCTGGAGGATGAATTTTCACAGAAGACTGCCTCCCATGCCATTATCTTGCCTCTTATTAAAAGAGAGTGAAACAGACTCAGACAAATAGTTGATCTCTCTTTTTGGACAGTTTATATCCATAAATTATGCGAAAAAAATGAGAAAGTTCTTTTATGCCAGCTATATAAAGGGAAAAGATTATTCTCAATTATGCCATTTATAAAAGGGTAAATAGCACGGCAGGTGGACAGAGCTGGATTCAACCTACCAGAGGCACTGTCTGCCCTTCTGTCATTTTCTAGTTCGCTGCCAACTTTTGGTCTTCTTTTCACTATCATCATTATGTTCACTTGCGTCCTCTCTATTACTGTCTTTGGGAAAATACTACCAAATGGCTTGTTTCCTTCAACTCCAGTCTGAGTGGCTCCTGAGAACGAGGCAGGGAAGGGTTAGCAGTCGGAGGAGAACCCGTTCCACAGCCCCTGAGTCTTTGCTGCCTTGTCATGGAAGTGAAGGCTCTGCCCTGAGGAAACTCACCTCCTTTCTCTCTCTAGGGGAGAGCACGAAGGAAGCCTTCGGATGAAGACAGAGCTGCTGGTGCAGATGGATGGGCTGGCTCGCTCGGAAGATCTCGTGTTTGTCTTAGCCGCTTCCAACCTGCCCTGGTAAGAGATGTAACGAGTACATTTTGAACACATTTTCATGAGCCACTGAGTACTGACGAAGATATCATGTTGACCACTTCGGGCAAAGCCTTGTTGTTTGGTTCCAGCCCTGGGAGATTAATCTGAAGGCTTTCCTATTCAAGTCCTCAATCCTTGCAATCCGTACCATGAAAGAATCTGCCTTAATAGAAGGAACACAGGCCAGGCTACCACTGACAACATTTAAAATGGATATTTTTAAAAGATGTTAAAAATATGAGTTTAAAGACAATTTATTTAGTATGTTTAAACAAGACTTTGGCAAAAAGAACTCTAAAATGCTAAAATCTACAGGACTCAAAAATATTCCAGATATAATATGCTTTGATTTTTAACAGTATTAAAATTAAACTTTTTTTTAAGTTAGGAAGAAAATCTTTTCTTTAATGTTGCACAGTAAATAGGAAGCTAAACAATCTCTAATTAAAAATATAATCTACTCCCAGAATCTTTTATTCAAACTATATCCCAGAGATTTTAAGAACAATTCTAGAAGTGGAATTGGGAAATAAGAGATGTTGACGAGGGAAAACCAATATCTACGCAGAGAGTATATTTTAAAAAATAATTATAATCTCTGTATAGTTTCAAGAATATTTTCACATAGCACGGGAACAGACTGACGAATCTCAGAGGAAAGGGGGTCGGAATATCGGAGAGAGATGAACCAAAGAACTTATATTCATATACATGTAAACCATGGTCCTAGACAATAGTGCATGAGGCCTGGGGGGCAGCTGGTACAATGTGGAGGAGGTCAGTGGGGGAGGGGGAAGGGGAAGGGGACATCTTTAATATTTTCAACAATAAAGATAAATTGTTAAAAATTGCTAATATTAGTAAGCATAATAATATTGGCTATAGCAATGTCAGGAAGAAAAAAAAGAATATTTTCACGCACATGATTTCTTTAGAGATGTGGGTGAGACATAAGACAGATCAGGAAATGCTGCCTTCCCATGGGCAGAGAGGGACGAAGGTCAAGAGAGGTCAATCCACCCAAAGTCAACAGCACATTCTCAACAGAGCTCAAACTTGACACTCTTGTGTCACCCCTGTCCTCCCGCTTCTGTTTCCACCTTCAAAGATGCATCTGGGCTCCCAAAGCAGGGGTCACTGAAAAGTTTGTGTGTAACCTGTTATTTTAAATATATTCATGACTTAAACCTGTTTCCAGTTCCCTTCAGATTTATAAGATGTTCTCTAACATGTTAAGGTGATCAGCATTTTACATTTTGAAGATACTGGTTAGTTACAGATAATATTAAAGCAGGGCCCAAACAGAGATGTGTCATTTAAATGTGACTGTGGAAATCCGTCAGAGAAAGAATCTCTGTTTCTTCATCCATTTGAAACGTGGTTGATCATAACACTTTATGTTGTGTGGAAACAGTAACTTCACGTATGCTTCTTGGAAGGCCTATGCCCCCAGGGAGACCGACCCATTTTCTAGAGGAACAGAGAGCCCTCCACTCCCAGTGACACCTAGGACTCCGTAGAGGAAGTTATTGTGCTGCCACCATTTCCCTAAATTGATCAGTTTTTGGTAAGCCCCAAATAAGATGATTCAGAGGGCAGAAAGAGAAGGAGAAGTTGCAGGAGGAGGAGGAGGAGGAGGAGGAGGAGGAGGAGGAGGAGGAGGAGGAGGAGGAGGAGCCGCTAACAATCAAAAATCAAAGACATTTAGAAGGGATTTTCTGAAGAATTGCCCCTCAACATGTCGAATGGTTAAATACATACATGCTTTTAAGCCTGGATTCTTATATCGCAGATTGCTTTGTTACACTGTATCTTGGAACCAATATGTTCTAACCCATATATCCTTGAGCACTGCTGGGTTTTAAAAAAAACATTTTATTATGAAAAATTCCAAACACTAAAGAAGACAAAAAAGCACAATGAACCCACTGTTGCCTAGTTTTAGTAACTAACAATCTTGCCCAATGATTTCATCTATTCCTACCCCACTTTGTTTGCTGAATACCTTAAATTACACCCCAGATTGTTATTTCTCACATATATACTTCAGTGTACATCTTTTAAAAATAAGGACAGTTTCTTGCATTACCACAATGCCATTATCACCCTTAACAAAATTAATATTAATTCCTTAATATTACCTAATACTCAGTTTATATTCAGATTTCCCACATTGTTCTATAATTGATTTACTAAACTGATATCCAAAGACTTGCATTTTGTAATTGGTTGTTCTCTTAAGTCTCTTTTAATCTTGAACAGACACACCCTCCTTTCCCCTCCTCGAATTTGCCATTGACTTGACGCCAAAGAGATTGTCTTGTAAGAGGTCTAAACTTCCTGAATTTGGCTCATTGTATTCTCATGATAGTATTTAGCTTCTTTTCCTTACCCCTATAATTACTCTAGACTAAAAGTTAGATTGATTAGATTCAGGATCAATATAAAATTTTGGCAAACATACTTCATAGGTGATGCTGTGTACATCATATTGCATTGCATCTAGAGAAAGATAATGCCATGTTGTCCAGCAATGGGTGATGCCAAGATGGATCAGTGGATTCAGCTGTACAGTTTCCATCAATGGTTTTAGATCTTTGCCTGCATCACTTATTTTACTAGAGTTGTGATTCTATCATTCCTTCTGATAGATAACTGGGATTATTCTCTATAATAGAACTTTCTCTCATTTAATAGGGTTATTTAATTACCCTGAAATATAGTTCATACTAGAAAAGCAAGATTCTTTTGCTTTAATTTTTAAAGCTTTTAAAATTATATATATTTTTTATTGATTTCAGAGAGGATAGGAGAGAGAGATAGAAACATCAATGATAAGAGAGAATCATTGATTGGCTGCCTCTTGCAAGCCCCCTACTAGGGATCGAGCCAGCAACCTCGGCATGTGCCCTTGCCTGGAATCAAATCCGGGACCCTTCAGTCCTCAGGCCGACACTCTATCCACTGAGCCAAACCAGTTAGGACTCTCTTTGATTTTTAGAGTCATGAGTTGGTGTCCTAGCAACCTCCAGTGGTAACCAATGAGCAATGATAGGCATTGTATAGATATAAGCTGTCACATGCTCCACAATTAAACTCTCAAGGATTTTTAAAAGAACTCCATAGAATAACTGAACTTGGTTTACTTACACAAAAGGAAACACATTTTTCTGTATCTTGATTTTTTTCTCTCAATAAAATATTCTGGAGATCTTGCCAAATAAACACAGGAAATTCTTCCTTACTTTCTTTTTAGCTGCATATGTGCCATTTAGTGCATATGGTAATCTATCCCAATCACCTAAAGTTAGGCACTTAGGTTATTCCTACTTTTTCGCTCTTACAAATAGTGCTGCCACGAGTAATGGTGTGCATATATCACTTTGTGTATTTGGCAGTGTATCTTTGTGGTAGGTTCCTGGAAGTAGAATTGTTGGGTCAAAGGGTTAATGTGCATAAAATTATAGTAGAGATTGCCAAATTTCCCTCTATAGAGGTTGTACATTTTGTATTCCCACTAGTGTCCTGCTTTCATTACTTAACATTATAGTAAGAACATTTCCAATGTCATTAAATAATCCTTGAAAATTGGATTTTGTAATGGCTGCCCAAAATTCCCACTTGTGAATATACCACAATTTAGTTAATCATTTCTTCCCTGTTGAACATATATGATGTTCCCAACTTTTCTCTATTATAAATAACACTGAAACAAACTTTTTTGAAAAAAAACTTGACAAAAATCTGGTTATTATTTTAGAATAGATTTCTAGAAGTAGAATTACTATATCAAAAGGTATAGATGTTTTTTAAGTTCCATGCTATATATTGTCTAAGTCCTTCTTTAAGGAAGTAGAGTATTTTTATCAAGAATATTAAAACAAACTTTGTATTGGCTTCAGTCTTAGGTGAGGGAGTAAATTTACCTGATTCAAGCAGTCTGTCCCTTTGGGGGAAATAATTAAATCATATCAAACATTGAAAAAACCCAATCCTAAAATCCCCAAAGAAATTCTTTACATATCTCTATATCTCTATCTCTATCTATCTATCTATCTATCTATTTATCTATCTATCTATAATTTTTTTCCCCAGAGAAGAAGGAAGGATAGACAGAATCATCAATTGGCTGCCTCCTGCACGCCCCCCACTAAGGGTTGAGCCCGCCACCTGGGCATGTGCCCTGACCTGGAATCGAACTGTGACCTACTGGTTCCCAGGTCGATGCTCAACCATTGACCCACGACAGCTGGGCCCCAAAGAAATTTTCTACGATTGGGTAGTGGTAGTTCTCATCTGTAGCACCTTTCAGGGCACTGGCTATCCTTTACTGCTTGTTAACTTACCAATTTCCCTAGACAAACCCCTTTTGTCTCCAAGGGGCAGTCATTCTCCCCTTCTCAGCAATGAGAGGGCATGCAGCATCTTTGTTTATTCAGTGCTTCTCCTCTGAGGAGCACCTTCCTGATCTATAGCATCACAGGGAGGACAAGAAGGAAGTGAGAATAACAGCTCACCAGTGTCATTTGATGTGTAAGTAAGTGGCAAGAAGGATAACAAATGTTGCATTGTTAATATTACCACTTAAAATAACAGCCATGTAAGAAATGTTTAGTGAGCACAATTAGGACTAATTTGACTGGTCAAGATTTTTGAGTATTCAGAAACTTAGGCCTGGGAGTCTGGAGGGAAACAAAATACTGAACAGGGCCATTAAGGCAAATACCATCTTTATTATTATTATTTTTTTTAAATTAAATCTTTATTGTTCAGATTATTACATTTGTTCCTCTTTTTTTTCCCCCCCATAACTCCCCTCCTCCCAGTTCCCGCCCCACCCTCTGCCCTCACTCCCCACCCACTGTCCTCATCCATAGGTGCACGATTTTTGTCCAGTCTCTTCCCGCATCTCCCACACCCCTTTCCCCCCCAGGAATAGTCAGTCCATTCCCTTTCTATGTCCCTGATTCTATTATAATCAA